TCCCAGAATCTGCTGATGCCTTCCAATGTGGACCTTTTATACACTGGGCCTCCAAAGTTTGGACCAATGGGCAGAATTTTTCCTTGTTGTTGTTGACACTGTTTTCCATAATTACCAGCTGAATTATGAAGGAGGAAGTTGTTTCCTAAGTGTTGAGACTCTTCCAATAGTAAGTGTTTAATCTGTTTCTTCATTGAGAATAACTCCTAGAAACTGTTTTCAGATACAAGGAAAGTGATCACATCATTAGCATTTTTTCTGCTCTGGTCACTTTGTGGTCATGTGATAATTCCTGCTGTCTGGGAGGGTCCAGAAGTTCTCTCTTCCTAGTCTGTTGCTTTCCCTGTATGTCTATTGGATACCTGGTATAAGGCTTAGGTTGAGGCTTTTAATGTGCCCCTACCAGAATAGTCTTCCTATAACCAACTGATTAGAGGAACAAAGGAATTTTTGACAAAGCAGACAGTGACATACACTGGGGAGAGGATCCCCTATCAATACCTGGTACTGTGAAAACTGGAAAGCCATCTGCAGAAAAATGACACAGTACCCTTATCTTTTGTCACATACAAATATAAATTCAGATGAATAAAAGACTTGAAAGTAAAGTATGAAAGCATAAAAATTCTAAAAGGAAACAAGGAAATCTCTTCTAGACATCAACCTAGCCAAACAATTTATGACTAAGACACCAAGGACTAATATGACAACAACAAAAATGAAGAAATGGGATTTAATTAAATTAAAAAGCTTCTGCATAGAAAGGAAATAATCAGCAGAGAGAATCAACAATCTACAGAATGGGAGGTAATGTTTATTTGTACATCAAATACAGGTCTGATCAGCGTATCTATAAAGAACTCACACAAATCAGAAGAAAAAGAAAGAGAGAGACAAACTACCCCATACAAAGTAAATAGAAGTCATGAACATATTTTATTCCAAAAAAGATGGACAAATGACCAACAAATACAAGAAAAAAAAATGCTTAACCCCACTAATTATCAGGGAAATGCAAATTAAAACCACAGTGATCAGCTACCTGCCCCCTGTCAAAATGGCCATGATTAGAAATTCTTGGATCTATTGAGGCATCACACATTCCTAGTCATGCTCATCATCTTTGCCATTTGCATGGCCTCTTAGATTCTCAGGAGTACTTCAGAGTTTACCAAAGTTCCTGTGCACAACTCAATCTCTAGCTTTTCATGTTAAGTTTTCTGGTCATTATTCCATTATTTTCTCCAACCATATCTACCTCCAAGTGTGATGGTAAACAAGTCTTTGGATTTACAACAAAATTCCCAGGGAAAACGCTTTCCACTCTCAGCAAACTCCGAATCAGCTCAAATAAAGATGGCCTTATAAGAGGGGGGTTCTATCCAATGTACTCAGTCCTACTATGAAACTAATTTATAGCTTTCAAAAGCCATAACCCGATTAGAGCCCAAGAATATGGGGAAAGGGGAAAGGGAGTGGAGGGGAGGGAGAGGATGCGTAGAGGGAGGGTAATTGGTGGGACCACACCTACGGCGCATCTTATAAGGGTACATGTGAAACTTACTAAATGTAGACTATAAATGTCTTAACACAATAACTAAGAAAATGCCATGAAGGTTATCTTAACCAGTTTGATGAAAATATTTCAAATTATATATAAAGCCAGCACATTGTACCCCATGACTGCATTAATGTACACAGAGATCATTTAATAAAATAAATAAATAAATAAAAATGAAAAAAAAAAAAGAGGGGTGTTCTAGGGAACAACCAGACAGATCAAATAATGACATGTCTCTAGGAATGGGCTTAGCAGGAGGCTCAGCCCATTCTTTTCCCCTCCCCTCAATCCCTGCTTGATTTTACAATAATTTGAGGTCTTTGTTTTCAAGCCAACTGTGGAGGTGGGGAGAGGGGAATGAGTACAGGAGAAGCTTAATTAGCCAGAAAGGTTTTTTTTAAACCAAGGTTTAGACCTAGTTTTGGTATAAGAAATTCCCTGAACCTTTTCAACTTTTGGCTAATTCCAGAGTTTAAAAAAAGTTAATTCTACTGATTTTGCTAATTTTTCATTGCTTTTATGGAGAATAAACTTTCTGGAAGTCCTTAATCACCATTTCACTCACAGCACTATTTTTATAGATAACATTTTTATCAAAACAGGAACGATCCCTTCTAACCCTCATCTCTTAGGAATTTTTACTAATCATGCAAGGTGGGTTGAAAGCTATAACATCCATTATTTATGTTGATTAAGATCGTCATAAGAAATTCTTATTTTGTGTGGTGAAGGTGATGTATTACTATACTGAATGATTTTCCAATGGCAAACCTACCTTCTATTTGCTATAAAAACCCAAATACATTGTCTTGGCTTTGTTTACCCCAAATAAGTGACTGAGGCAAGGATCTCAATCAATGGGCGTTTATTGAGAACGTACTCAGGAGACACACAGCTCAGACAAATCTGTGGCTGCTTGTGTGAAGGGGAACTTTGAAGTTTCAGTGTTTAAAGGGGGAATATAGAAGGAAAAAAGACAGGGATGGGAGGAGTAGGGAGACAAAACATTTCAGGCTTGTGAGAGTTAGGAAAATATACATTTTACATAGAAAAAGTGAATGTTAGAAGAGAAAAGGAGAGTTTAAAAATCAAGAATTCTGTGGATGTCCTGGAGAAGCTGGGAGAATGCCTGATCCTGCCTTGTCTCTGTTCTGTGTCTTTAAAGATAAACCTGTAATTCATTATTAGTGTGGAATTTAGAAGCTAATGAAACCATTGGCAAGCTGGTCAGCTGTCCATGTTGGAGCATGTTACACGGCCTCCTTGAGGTCCAGGTGCTTTGCTTTAAACTATGTCAAGTGACTTGTCCTTTGCATGCTTTGGTGACAATGAGACATTGCATGAAAAATGTAAAACTCAGCATCTACTAGGTGAACAAATTGGATTACTTTGCAGGCTCTATGGAGGTGAGGAAGTTTACATGTCTGTGCGCTCCTGTCGGCTTGGCTGAGGGGACAGCATGGTCCTGAAACTCTGTTCTCCTCTGAGAGGTGGCAACAGCCCAGAAAAGTCCAAATGCTTGTGTGTGCTCTTTTGTGTTCAGTTCCTCAGC